AATTAACCACTAAGAAGTATATATGCAGTGTATTATTTGTTGAAACTGTACTTCCGATTTGATTTGAAACTGTCTCATTGCTGTTTATCAATAAAATTTTGAAAAAAAATAGATTAGGAGGTGAATATCCAAGTGCCTATCCTGGCCCGGCCACTTATTGCAACTCTGGGAAAGTGACCTTTTTGTGCTTCCACCTTATCTGTAAAATGGAGAAAAGCAGGGTTTGGCTGCTTGCAGGCCCAACGTGCTCAGTTCCTCATCAAGGGCAAGCGTCCCACGCCAGCTATGATTATGGACCCCGAGTAAGCTCCAGGCCGAGATTATACTGTAAATTCAATTATCCCGTCTTAGCCCCTCCGCCTGGTGCTCCATATACTAGAGAGGTGTAGCATCTGTTAGCATCTACGCTACTCTCACCTCGGCTAGCAACACGCAGCTGTTTCTCTTCACTGAGGTGACAAGCGACCTGCGTGACCACCTGACACACTCGAAATCCCCATACAAATAGAAGTAACAGAATCGCACCTCTCAGTTTAGAGTCCATGTGCTGTCCGGCTCTTGGTGCTCTGTAGTGCAGACTTACAGAAACTGACTTGGATCTATGTTTCAGAGTAATGAAAGCACGGGACACGTGCCTGGCACCTGTCCTGGCACCTGCGGGGCCGACAATCTGAGGACGGCTGCCTTTTGTTAGCAATGGAAAGAAAAGACGCTGCAGTAAGACAGAGGATTGAATTCTGGTCCAGCCACTTATTCTAGTTTCCACTTGGATGAGTTTTTCTTAACCTGTGTCTATTTCTACAAACATGAACCTGAGTTTCCCTCAGGAATTTCAGGAGGATTAAAGGAGAACGTATACGGTGAAACTTTTAGTCAGTCTCCAAATTCAACCCACTGATGTATCTGGACCTACTATTGGTCCTCATTTATGTACGGTCTTGTTTTGTTGCTTCAGTGGTTTGGGTGGTCTCACTTAGAAAAGCACTTGCTTTTCCTAGAGCACCAAGAGGGAAAAGTACAAAGAACCAGCCTGTGTAACTGCCGTGTTTTAGTCACACTAGAAAACAGCTCAAATAAAATCTCTTTTGGGATCCAGACTTAAAGACACAACATTTTATTAGTATTCCTTTATTTTATATATTCACATCCATAGTTTTTTTTTTTTTTGCGGAACCAGGGATTGGACTCACGCCCTTGCACTTGCCAGGGAAGTGCTTATTGCACTGCGCCACCTCCCCTGCCCCCACACCCATAGTTTTATAACCACAAACAAGATGCTTTAGTAACACATCAGCAATCTGAAGATGGCCATTGTGGACTTCTGAACCTCGCCACTGCATTCTGCGCTGCATACTCTGAGGACCGCTTCCCTTTCCCGGCAGTGGAAGACATACAGGCTCTGCAGTTAGAGAACTGGATTCCGGCCCCGTACAGAATTACACAGAATCAGTACTTCTGAGTCACACAGAAAACAACAATATCCTACCTGCCACAGATGATCTCTATCTTAAATGAAGAGCAACATACAGTGAAAAAAAAAAAAAAAGCACACATCACATGTGACATGGGCAGGTACACCTGCTACTAAACAAGCTGACATTTCTAGCTTTGGGCAACATATGTGCCTGAGCGTTGCCTGTCCTCTCAGGGTACTGAACATATGTAGTGACAGACTTTTTGGGCAAGTAGGAATAACAAAAAATTCACTAGGGATTACTTAAATAAACATTAGTATAGAATGATGTCCCTCCTCGTCAGTGACACATTTGGAAGTCTTTCAACATGCTCGGAAACGACAGAGACAAAGCTGCACAACGAGTTGGCAGCACAGCTTGGGACTGGTTAACGTTTACTACTGGAGTGACCTACCTCACGCTCTGCCCACTGCAGCATTCCTTGCTGGCTGCCCAAGATTCAGGTGACAGGGGTCTTCTCCTCCTCAGTGACCTCCTTGTGTATCAGTGACAGCAACTGAAATAAACCTGGGCCTGGGCCACTCTCTGGCAGATTAAGCCGTCTTTTAGCTGCTCTGCTGACTGTCCCAGCAATGCTTTGGCCTAGTTGGGCCTGATTCACACCTTTCTCAACTTCTCCTCTCTGTACCAGCTTCTTCTTCTCCTTCTCCTTATTATTATTTTTTTTTTTTCCAGAACTGGGGATTGAACTCAGGCTCTTGTGCTTGCCAGGGAAGCCTTTTTATTCTACTGAGCCATCTCCCTGGCCCCCTGTACCAGCATCTGAAATAAAGGTTCCAGACTTAGTGTGTAAGCAGACAACTTTTCCTTATTTTCCTGATACGTGGGTGGATATTTCACCTGCAATTCTCCAAGATTATCAACCCAAATACTGGGGCCTGCAGGACTGTAATTACAGGATTGTCTCCCCCCCCCCTCCTCTTTAGTACCAGGGATTGAACTCAGGACCTTCTGCTTGCCAGGCAAGCACTTATTCCACTGAGCTATGTCCCTGGCCCTGGATTACTTGTCTTGAGGATGCAAATATCAAATGCTTGGCCTCTGAGGCTTTAAATCACTTTTTCTCTACATCTGACACTTTTCATAGCATTATCAAAATGGTATGGAACATTCAAGGTCCAAATTCTTTTTTGTTGTTAATACAGGGTCTCACTTTGCTACACAGCTCAGACTGGAGTAGTCCTCCTGTTTCAGCCTCCTTAGTGCTGGGATTACAGGTGTGTACCACCATGCCCGTTTTTGGTGGCTGGCACAACACACCTGTGGTTCCAGGGCCAGCATAGCATGTGGTGCCAGGGATTGAACCCAGGTCCTTGTGCTTGCTAGGCAGGTGCTTAGACCATGGAGCTATCTCTCCAGCCCAAGTCCAAATTCTTTTTCACTTGGTTCTGGAGGTTCCCAGCCTGAGACTACTCTCAGATTTTTATACTTAAAGTACTGCAGGATACACTGAAGGGCTTTATCTAATGCTGGTGTCAACAATGGGTCCCCGGGCCTGCCCTGCAGGGCGCTGGGACAGCAACTGAGACTGGGCATGGTGGAGCTGGCCTATAATCCCAGTTGTTGGGAGGCTGTAAACAGGTGGATCACTATGAGTCTGATCTAGTAGTGAGACCCTGAACACCCTGTAGACCCTTCCCTAAAAAGCAATGGAATGGGTCCTTCATTTCAGGGCTCATGTCCTGGTTTATGTCATTATAGTTATTTCCATATCCAAGAGCTGAGGTCAACTCACCCAATGTCATGTCTTCTTCACTTAAAAATTCATTTAATCATCTGATAAACTCATTTTTTTGGGTCAGGGGGCTTGAAGATCACTCTCCAGAACCCTCCTTGTCCAGGTATCTAAGTGGGAACCAGAGCAAGACTAGTGTTTTCAGTAAGCCGGAACATCCTTCCAGTCTTACTCCCCTAAGGGCCAGACCACCTGCAGGGCCTTTACAATTTGTCAGCCTGCCGGGGCACTTGCCAAAGGGCCCGGGGATATTGGCAATGAAGAACGCTTTCTGAGGATTCACGCCCATCTCCCTGCACCAGTCCTCCAATTAACTGTGGTGTCAGGATGCTCGTGGGGTTTAAGATGTAGTTTGTCGGGTACGCAGACGCCCGGGTACTTCATAGTACTCCTGCATGCCACCTCACATAGGGCTTGGCAACGCGCCGAGGTGCGGAAGGCTGGGGACTGAGCTGGCAAGTCCGTTAACGGACCCGCGCCCTGCTGCAGCCGCCGTCCGGAGCTCAGGGTGCAGGCTGCACCCTCGGGGCTCCCGGCGAAGGTGCTGCTCGTCCCCCTCACCGCTATCCGCGGCGGAGCCCGCGCCGTCTGCCGAAGACCCAGAACCAGGCCGGCTCCCGGATGCGGGGCCGCCCGGTCCCCACCGCGCTCTCCGCGGCCAGGAGTGACCTGGAGGTCAGAGTCGCAAAGGAAGCACAGGGAGGACGGCGCGCCGCGCGCCTGTCCCGCGGCACCAGCAGTCCCGATTCGCGCGTCCCCGGGCGCACGCAGGGCGGCGGCGTCTCCCGGACGTCACGAGGAGACAGGCCGCGAGCTTCCGGCCCGAGGCGGAAGCCCCCACTGCCGCGGCATCCGGGACGGCGGGCGGGCGGGCCACTCGGACAGGAAGGTGAGACCCGGGACCGCTCAGCTTTGCAGGCAGCGTCGTCAGGCGGTCCCCGCCGGATGCTGGGCTCGCTCTGCGGCGGGGCTGCGAGGCCGAGGCCTGGCGCCGCCTGCTCAGCTCGGGTCGCGGCGGCGGCGGGCGCTGCAGGGGGCGGGGCCGGATGCCGGGGAGGCCCGGGAGCCTCCTGACCCGCCGGGCGGGCGATCGGACGGCTCCGGCCGCGGCGACAGGCACCTGGCCGCCGCGTGACTACCCGAAGGCACGCAGTACTTAATCACAGTTAGCTTGTGCTCCAGGCTGGCGGTGTTCATGTCTCCCCGAGCCGGGTAACCCAGGGGATTTCTTTTATGGTGGCTTGCTTTGAAATGCCAAAGGCACCCGATTACTCAGAACCGAGTGACTCTTTAACGCTTGCCGCGGGAACAGGAAGATTTTCGGGACCACTGTAAGTGTTCGAGAGTTGCTGTCTTAACATGGGGCCTCTGCCATTGCTTTGACTAGTAGAAGCCCATATTGAGGTCTGGAGCAATAGTGTAAAGGCATAAAGCTGTATAAGTCAAATGTCCTACAGGATACTTTCGGTTTCTGAAGGGAAGCTATCCTGGACTTAGTTAATAAGCACAAGGTAATGATTCATTTTGTGGGATTCAAATGAAAAGCAGAACTCAGTATACTGAAACCAGTGTTTTGTACTTGCTCATAAGTGTATTGAAACAACCACCTGTAAGTTGATGGCATTTAAGGTAAATGTCATTTAATCATTTTTAAATCTTGAATATATGTTAGTGGGATATTTTAGAACTCTTGGGACTAAACCAGCTACACTGGGTGTTCTAGAAAATTTTGTTCTGTTCTAAAGACAGGATCGGGGCCGGGGAGATAGCTCAGTGGAATAAGCGCTTCCCTGGCAAGCGCAAGGGCCAGAGTTCAATTCCCGATTCCACCAAAAAAAAAAAAAAGAAAGAAAGAAAGGAAGATAAAGACAGGATCTCGCTATGTAGAGCAGACTGGCTTTAAACTCACTTTGTAGCTTAGACTTGCCTTACATTCCTGGGGGTCCTCTTGTCTCGGAGTCCCATATGTCATCACCGGGGCTGAACCAAGTACATCTGTAAGAGTTGCCTTGACAGCCTTACTAAACCCTATCTTTTTATTTAAGGCACAGAGCATGGAGAATGATGAACTTCCGTCAGCGGATGGGATGGATTGGAGTGGGATTGTATCTATTAGCAAGTGCAGCAGCATTCTACTATGTTTTTGAAATCAATGAGACTTACAATAGGCTGGCTTTGGAACACATCCAGCAGCACCCGGAGGAGCCTGGTGAAGGAATCACATGGACACACTCCTTGAAAGTTCGGTTACTCTCTTTACCTTTTTGGTTGTGGACGATCATTTTTCTGGTACCTTATTTACAGATGTTTTTGTTTCTTTACTCTTGTACAAGAGCTGACCCCAAAACAGTGGGCTACTGTATCATTCCCATCTGCTTGGCAGTTATTTGCAATCGCCACCATGCATTTCTCAAGGCTTCTAATCAGATCAGCAGACTACAATTGATTGACACATAAATCAGTCACCGTTTTTCCTTATGATTACAAAACTGCCAGAACAGTTTGGATTGTGATCACACGACTGCATTTTCTTCACAGATCTCAGGAAGTTGTGGGGCTGAGGCTTTTTAAAAACTGTGGCTAGGGACCTATATCTAAATAATGACTTTTTAGGGAAAGCCTGAGATATAGTACTACAGAATCATGTTGATGATTTCAGATTTTGGAAGTAAAATTGTGTCTTGTTACTTTCATTGTTTAGAAACTTGAGTATTTCTACTGTACTGTACAACATAATGATAATTTAGTTTTTCCTTTGGGGGAAAAATGAACGAACATTTCCATCATGTTAAGTGTAAAAAGGTCCGTAACAGATGGTTATAAAGTTTAAATTTTATATAATTACTTGACTTCCTGTCATAGCTAAATTGAATGTTTGCTTTCAGCTTCTATGGAATTGGTATAAATTATTGAGGTGACTGCTGTGGGTTTTTTCACTGGTGCTGGGGATTGAACCCAGGGCCCTGCGTATGACAAGTACACACTCTACCACTGAGCCATATCCCCAGCCATGATGGCTGTCTGATAAGAATCTGTTCTTTTTCTGGGTAATGGCTAGATTAATCATTACTAGTGTTACTGGTTTTAAAAAGCTGTAGGAAGAGACTAAAGGCCAGTCTAGAAATAGCTTACGCACAGGAGATGGGAATGGGGTGGTCCGTGTAAGTATCACAGGTGATGTCCTCCTTCAGAACATATAGTTATACTGCTGTTGTCCTGAGATGGCAATTATTACCCTGATTTTATAGATCAAATTGAGGCAGAAAAATTAAGTAACCTGTTAAAGGTCACACAGCTACTACACAGCAGAATATCAGGGTTACAACAGGCATGCTGACGCTTGTGTTCCTTACCTGTGCTATACTTTGCTTTTCACAGATGCTGAATGTTTAAGCACTGTCTCCCTAGTCATGCCAAAGAATGGAAATGGCAATCTGAGAAAAGTTTCTGTTTGAGCTACTAAAAGCCTGAGAATTAGTGACCTCTGCTTTATGTCACATTTGACCAGAAAGGCTAAGCATTCCACAGCAGAATTTTACTGAAAAGATAGACCTGGTACCTTTGTAACTCAAAAGCAACAGAATCTCCCTTATCGCAGAGAAAGTTCTAGTTACTGAATACTCTGATGTAGTACACTCAATTTTCCAAATAAGCAGCAGTTTGAAATGCCAGTTTCTGATGGGATCAGATAACCAAAACCACTTATCTTATTCGAGTACTCAATAGGCATGCTACAGGCGTTATTTTTTGAGTGTTTTCTTTTTTTCCTTCTCTGTAGCCCTATAAACAGGTACTGTGTTCTGGTGCTAGTGCCACTTTACTGAAAAGTAAGTCTAAGCCACATGGGAATTAACCTGTCCATGGTCACAGAGCAATTTTGGCATTGTCTTCTCAAAGAAAGGACAAATAAACTGGGTGTAGTAGCACTCCAAAGGCTGAGACATAAATATCACCGGGAATTGAAGGCCAACTTGAACTATACAGAGATCCTATCTCAAAAAAACAAGCAAAAACAATTTTACTTTTTTTTTTTTTTTTTTTCTTGCGGAACCAGGGATTGAACTCAGGCCCTTGTGCTTGCCAGGGAAGCGCTTATTCCACTGAGCCATCTCCCTGGCCCTAACAATTTTATAAAAAGATAAAAAATCACAAGTCATGGAGTTCTCTGCTGTTTTATTAGTCTTGCAGAATGGTAGTTTGAAAATTAAAATTATTTCAGTTATTTCTTATAAGTACTTCATGTTTGTGAGTTTGCTACCTGTAAAGTAGTAATTTCTGTTTAATGAAGTAGATTGGTCTCTTTGTGTGCAGGGTCTCACTACGCAGCTTGGACTTGTAGTGATCCTCCTGTTTTCAGTCTCCCTAGTGCTGGGATTACATGTGTGCGGCACCACACCCAGACTCGGTTGCCTACTCAGCACACCCAGCGGCTGGGCGGAAGCAGCATGTAGTGCCAGGGATCAAACCCTGGCCCCTGCGCTTGCCTAAGCAAGCCCTTAGTCCCTTGAGCTATCTTGCTGGCCCTAGATTGGTTTCTTTTATACCTGTAATTCTTGAATTTTGCACTTTGGAAAGTAAATGTTTACTGTATCTCTGATGATTGTACTGCCCTGATCACAGAAATATTACAAAGGATTAATGTATTTACAAATATAAGGACAATTTTCAGGTTACAGAGTTAATCTGCTTTTTTATTAGGATTTATCCAAGATGTAGTTATGCCTAGGTTTTTTTTTAATGGCTATTTAATAGTTCAAAGCATTCCTTTGGTAGGGTAAAAGGGTAAGATAATCGAGGAAGAGACTGAAATGGATAGGAGACAGTATAACAGCAAATCATTTGTCATATTCACACTGCAGTACAAAAAGCAGTGAATACAGGGTTATGTAGTGAGATGAGTGGCAAATATGTAAGTGCTTCAGGGACTTTAGGGAAGGGGCAAGCTTCTAGGATCCATAACTCCTGTGTGAAAAACATGAGGCTGTCTCACACTTTGATTTATTAAGTTTTTTTTACTTTCAACTAGAAATAGTACTGTCGTTTTTTCACTGAAACAAGTCATTTTTCTGGTTTCAAAGACATTACCAGTTTTTTAAAGGGAAAAATGTGATTTCCTAAAGTTTGAAAGCATGATTAAATTTTTTTTGTGGGGAAGCAGAAATATGAGATCAAGTGCTCCCATGCAAATAACTGCACCGTAAGATAATCAAACCAGTGTGTTCATCAGTAGTAGTAGTCTGTTTAAATTATCTAGTTGTCTAACTTACCTTGTTATCACTGGGACAAAATACCTGACAACTTAGGAGTACATTTTGGCATTTTCACTCCATGTTCAGTTGGCTCCAAGAAAGGAGAGGGCCCAGTGGAGGAAAGCTGCTTATACCTTAAGAGGCCAGGCAGGGAGACGGACTGTGTAGGTCACAGCCCCAGAAACCTGACTTCCAGTCAGATCAAACTGTTGATTTCCTTTTTTTTTTTTTTTTTTT